GTTCTTGTTTTGTCTGTTTTTTATGGACCATAATTGTGTCTAAATAAAGAGATTGATTGATTACTTTTTTAATTAATATTTACCACCATTTATAAACACATTTATTTTGAAGCCTAAACTTCAAAGGGCTACATTAAGGAACTGTTTAATATAATGTCCTGATGCATCTCAGTAATCCAGGTAGAAACAAATTCTTCTTTAGTGAAACGTTTCGTCTCTCGTTTCACTAAAGAAGAACTCATCCAGAGGACCTACTTTTTTTTCTTTTTGATGTTTAATATAATAGACAAAATAGTTTCATAGAATTTAAGTTTACAGTAGAACACATAAATACACACAACAGAAAATAAAAATAAATAAATAATAAATAATATATAAAATAATCTGGAACTACACTCCGGACCCGTAGGTGGCGGTGTTGCACACCTTCAGTTTCATGTCCACCGACATTAAACAGAAGAAGAAGAGCTCCAGCGCCTGGCTGCTGTGTGGCTGTTCACTATTGTTAAAGACGAGCAGCGAACAGCTTTAAATTTGTTGTTTATATTTATAAAAATCACAACAACAGTCTGTGTTCGCTGTTATCCTGTAAGGAGAAACAGGAGGAGGAGAGCTACAGGAGGAGGACTGAGCTGAGGAGGAATAATTACTGTCTGTTATTGGAAAATGCTCCGGATTTGACTGAATAAAGGTAAAATCGGTCGGATCGATAGTTGTTGTTGGTTGAAGCTGCAGTGAGGGCGGGTACGGCCGCAGTGTGCAGCTGCTGGATGTAGGTCATTTGTTTTACTGGGTCCAGTCCTGCCATGATGGGCAGAACCACTGCAGAGAACCACTGGTTTATTAAAGGTGAACTAAATAAAACATTATGAAATTATTATCTATAACAAAAAACGATWCATTAATATATAATGTGACAATGTAATTGTAAATACATTTCTAAGCTCAGTATTATTTATTAATTCGTCTTTAAAGGCACAGTGTGTAGGATTTGTTGTTTTCAGCGACATCTAGTGGTTGAATCATCCTCCCTGGTCCTCCCCCCACCCCCACTCTACGGTGTCTCTCAGGGGTCAAAAACCTTTGATAATTCCAACCG